CTAATTAACGCTAAGGTAGAAATGGACAATGACACTTTGTGTAGGTGGAAGAGATATGAATAGCAATTAATAAATTTAACTGTCAGTTTGTTAAAGGTGGTGCGAGGTATTTAACGTCTTTACTTCCTTCTTGAAACCCACTCACTGTTCACTGTATGAACCATGCAATGTATTGGTGAATATTCATAAATATAAAAACAATTCCACATGTTAAATGTGTATTGGTGAATTACCCCCAGAATTCCTCAAGACCGAATTTATAGTTCTTGATGTCAGTTTGTGGCAATGGACGTAATACAAAAATCTGTGTGGTGGGATAACAATAATTTATTTGTGAACATCAGTATCTGTACATTGTCCAGTGATTCGGGATTTTGTGATTCTGACGAAAAAAACAAAACAAAAGAAATTGATCTCCTATGTTATTTGCACATATTTGGCCATGCTTTGTTTTGAGAGATTCCAGATCTGCGATATTGGTTCAACAATGGTATCAAATTCGATCTCAAATTATGCCTAGAATATTGTAAATTTGTGCTTAATGTTAATCTATTTCGAAAGTAAATAAAGAATTTTGAATTGTTACTAATTCTGGTCATTGCGCATTAAAAACACACTGACTACATTGTAAAACATATACAAACAAGACTATAGCCAAAATGTTGTGTTTTGAGCCCACATGACTTGAGCTTTGAATGTCTGTCACCCAAATACCATCTGGGACAAATACTAAATTAAGAACCTTGAGCAATATAAAACCGAAATTTATGCAAACTCGAAATAAGTGATTTCAATTCAATGATAGATAAAGGATGGCACGCAAGATAAAAACAAACAAACAAAAGTTGGTGAAAAGTGTGATACTGGGGATGAATTTGCCTACCTGATTGAATGGTAACAATATAAATAAGCATTAATTACTCACTACAAATCCCATAGTTTATTATATGTTTTTTTAAGACAATGATGCAATATTCATATATATTATTGACAACACACATATAGAAATTGCGGTTATATTAACGAAAGTGTAATTTTCTAAAATAGTTTCATCTGTACATAATTATCATCTGAAGTATGGAACGTACGTTTTCTTTTTAAATCAATAATATTTTTTGATTTTTGAAAAACCTTGGACTGTGTTGTATTCAAAATAAACAATGTTAATAACGTTATTATCATTATAGCATTTGAGTTACCGAAAAATGTAAATTAGGCATCACGTGTGTGTGATCATGGAAAAAAAAATTAAATGTTGAGTAAACAGGAAATATATCATTATATAAAACATGGAAATAGTAAAAATATTCAATATATTTGTTTTTGGCATTAGACTATAATTGACTGCAGTGTCGCAGTAGATTTGAAATGGTCCTGTATATTAATTTGCTTCACTGTCCACATTATTTAGGATTGATTTCAGTTCCTTCGTGATCTCCAAGAAGCTAGGACGGGTTGCAGCATCTTTCCGCCAACACTTATCCATCAGTTCCCAACAGTGCTTGTCAAACTTGTCTAATCTGTCTGGTCGAACACTAATAGGAGGTAGTGTTGACTGGTATGGTCTATACGCTTCTGGTAATGTGTCGGTACCATTACAAATAAACCACAGTAAAATACCGAATGCATATACGTCTACCATTTTATCATACACAGTGCGCAATCCTACTTCTGGGGCCATAGCCAAAGGCGTGCCTATGACAGTATCGTTTATAAAACCTTCGGCTTTACAGCATCCAAGGTCTGCTACTTTCACTTTATCATTTTCGTCGAGCTAAAAGAAACAACACGAAATAAGAGTGTCAAACCAATGCAAAATGCTCAATTTATAGAATTTCTAGAATCACCAATGAAAACGAACTGACATACATACTCACCAGAATATTTGCTGCCTTTATGTCCCTATGCACGATACCTCTCCTGTGCAAGAATTCGAGGCCTTCTGATATTTGTAGAGCGAATTGCAATCTGTCTTTCAGGTAGGGATAATTTGGCAATGCAATGTTAAGGCTACATTTCATCTTTGGAGTCACTAAATATACTTCTTCACCTTCTATTATGGTGGCTAACAGAGGCAATATACGTTGATGTTGATGTACGCATCTGTAATGAAACAGTATCATTATACATCTGTCACCGTAACGCCATAAGTTACAACGTGACGTAATTTTGCAGTATTTTACGGGGTACTTTCATCCTACCATATAAGGAAATGCGAATTCAAATATGGAATGGTTACGCGAGTAAGCGTCTTCCAATAATAAAAACAAACAAACATGGCTTTCACCACAAATAAGTTCTTGGATTTCGGCATTCCCATGATGTATCCTTGGAAGGAAAAGATGTATAATAATATAGCTATTACGAGAATACCTCAAAGTATGCACTCAGACAGTACGCCGCGCATCGACCTACACTGGGAGTTGGTAGATACTGCAGCTGTACTGTATTCGTGCATACTTTGAGGTATTCTCGTAAGAACCTCATATTATATTGAGTCCGTTTTGCACTAACATCTATATGAAATGTTATTGTTTTTTGAAAATTACCTTGTGTAATGTACTTCCATTGCCACAGTCTCTCTATGGTTCGGTTTGACGCGTTTTGTCACGCATGTTACACCATATGGTCCCATTTTACCACAGTCAAACACAGTACCTTGGCTACCATGTCCAATCTCGTCTGCAAGTTCTGGTACACCGAATTCTTGCATGGATATGATAGACAGTAATCTAAGCTCAAGGTCCGCCACGGACGGAGCAAGTTCTCTGATGTTCATTCTTTCATTATTTGTAATTGTTGTATCCATCTTCATTAGGTTACGCAATTGGTCTATAGCTTTATGGAATTGTTTTTTGCTTTTTTGGAGGTGCGCTTTACTTTCGCTTATTAATTCTTTGGCGACAAATTTGGCATCTATCATACTGAGGGTCTTCAATACTCTTGCTTCTTTCCAATCAGCAGTGATTACATCGTCTTTGATGTCATCACAGGTAGATGATTTTGTTAGCCATATCTTCAGTCTGGAGAGTAATGGATTTCGGCATATTGAGAATGCTGTCTCTACGCGATACGAACCCATAGTACATTGTTTGATAATAGCAGCAACTTCGGAATCTTGTTTCTGATTTTCTAAATCTTTGACGACTTTTGATAACTGAATTATAGAGTCATCTTCTTCCTTAAAGCTGTCAGCTATCCTTTTACGTAGAGCAATGCTAACCTTTTCAGTCACTAGTTGCTTTATTTTCTTACTGTAGAGTTGAGCATCACTTGTATGGCGAGTTTGCATATTCTTCTCTACATCTGTGTCAAGCAACGTGTATTCTCTAATGCATGCTACAATATTTCCTGTCTCTGTTTCGATGACGTTTCTTATCTCACGTTGTAGAAACTTCTTTCTAGCTTTTAGTTTTGACATTGCCTTCTGGAATACATCATCTTCAATTGCTTTGCACTCTTTTAGGATATTCTCTCTGTGTTCAGGATCTTTCACCTCTGTGGCTTTCATGATAAAGTAGTCAATGCAGCGACAATGCGAAGCAATTAATATGTTACAGGAGTTCTTTATCTCCGCATTGAGTGAATTTTCAACAAATTCATAAACACATTTCTGAAAGTGATGGAAGTCGTCAACAAATGTGTCCCGATTTTTGCATTTACCTCTCCGGTATGATTTCACTCTCCAGCATGAAATGCCATGAAAAATATCGCATTTTTCCATTGGTCCATTAGTTAAAAATCCCTCATCGACCAGTCTGTCGTAAACCCGACGTTTCCGCTCTTGAACTTTGTCTCTGTTATCTCCATCTGTCTTCGTGTCCCCGTCGACTTTTGTTACTACAAACAACATGTTTCGTCGAATGCCGGTAGTAGTGTGATATAGTCTTGTTATATCAAGCAAGTCCTATGTAATGTAAATAATATACAAATAAACATAATAGTTTACAGTAAAGTACATTTGTATATTAAACTCAAGCAATAATTAAATTTTCTTTAAATTTTATGTTTCAAATGAAACATTGAATTATAGATTTCCTAAATAGTGCCCATGGAAGATGTTGATTGAATACTCAGCATTCGAAAGTCCTAAGTAATGAATAATTGCAGGATTCGTGTTTAGTATTCACAATACCTGGTCCGTAAATTGATTCCGGCCATCCACGACATACATAAGGAAAGACTTCTGGTTGTCGACTGCTTCAAAAACAATCTCATTGAGAATTTCACTTTCCTGTAGCCCAGGAGAATCGATTATTTCGATACCACTTTTAAGAAAGTCATTATTTATTTCTGCTTCAACCCAACTATTGATAATCTCGGGGTCTCGGCGTTTTTCTTCTTTGAGCTCCATGATATCGTTTGGTATTACCTTAGACTTCATAGCTCTTTCTTCTAAGATTTTTCCATCTTTTGACCTTATTCTTACTTTGTTTGATTCGCCATACTTAATTTTAACCACTCGAGCCGTACATGGAACCTGACTCATAGCGACCACTGTGCCACCTAATAGCTCGTTAATAAGCGAACTCTTTCCAGAATTGGTCTGTCCAACAACAACAAGTTGTGGAGTTTGACTGACGGTTTCTATCCTCTGCTGATCCTCGTCGTCCAAAAGTGTGACTTCACTTTTAATGAGGTTCATCTGAGAACTGCTGGAAAGTATTTGTTGAATTTGTTCATAAACATCTTTTGTACCTTGCAGTACTTCAAGTATTTCTTTTGAATCACGCTGGTATGCTAAAAAAGCATCTTTCGGTGTTTTCATAAACGATTTGGAAACTGCTCCCTTCATTGTTGCCATCGCCGTCTCCGTGTTTCGGCACCCTATAACATCCAGCGGGAGGCCGTTACTATGTGCAATTCAACAGGTATTTTGTGACTTTACTTGGAGGGTTGGTGTGAAGACAGATTGTAGAAACTGTAACCATAAAATGAACGTACAAATTCTCCCTATGAAGATGAAAAGACGTGACAAGTATGGTGAAAGTCAAGATGATCACAGCTTACCACTTTACCTTAGCGACGCAGATCAGTAAATGTTCAACAGACCACCGACACACAACACAAACTATGATAAATACCAAATGACTCATTCACCTTTGTACACAGTTAGATAATCATCGGGCTTACAGTATTCGTCGGCATAACGCCCACACAGTTTAGTGCCATGATGACGTTATTCTTTAACTTGCATAATCGTTTCACAAAGATCAGGGGGGGGGGGGTATCATATGAAAGATTCATTTTTTTCAAATATTGTGATAAACAGCTCCCGATTAACTATTAAGGATACTTCCACATCCCGATTATGTGCACTAGTACTTGCAGCTCAGATTCATCGAACATTTTTGTGATTCTAAATACACACCGCGAATTGGAAATGAATATTGTACCGCTGTATTGTCTTAGCGATGTTAATACTTTGCACTCACGCATAGGTCAACATATGATACTGTATTAGGTTTTTAAATATTTTAATCTTTTCTGTCACAATTATATTCAACATACACATTTATTTTATTGAGGGTCATTTACAATGGCAATTTGATGACTGCGGTTGTTTTTTATACAGATAAATTAGTGCTTAGGTCAAGGATTCAGATTCAGAATCACTAAAATATGTGACACATTTTATTATTAAGTAAAAGGACACAGTCCCGATATGGTTGTCACAGCAACGTCTCAATATATTTTATTTGCGGTATTGGCTAGGCTTTGTTGTTGATAAAGTTCTTGTCACTGTTCAAACATTGATATAGCAGAGTATAGACTGTAGAGATATACAATCGCCATTTTATTCATGTTGCTAGGGGGTCGACACTTTGAATGATGCTTTGAAGTTCTTTAGTTATTTCTCTGAACGTAACTCGCCTTGTAGATTCTTGTCTCCAACACTTTTCCATAAGACGCCAACACTGCTTATTAAACTTGTCCAATCTTTCTGGTCGTACACCAAACACATTTAGCAGGTGTGAGTTAGCTTGATGATGTTTATATGTCTCTGGCAGGGATCCAGTCCCATCACATATAAACCACAGCAATATGCCGAATGCATATACATCCACCATCCTGTCGTAGTCAGCGCCCATTGCCATCTCTGGGGCCATAACCATTGGTGTGCCTATGAACGTATCTTGTAGAAACCCTTCGGCCTTGCAGCAACCCATATCTGCAATTTTCACATTTCCATGTTCGTCTAGCTGCGGAAAGATAGTCACGAACCAAGTGTGGTTATCTGATTGTATTACAAAATCAAGTATGACGTTATTAGGGTGTCCCACATTTGAATGCATGTTCAAAATAAATACTTGGCATATGAGGTTTATAAAGCGCACACTTACCAAAATATTTTCAGGCTTTATATCTCTATGCACAATTCCTTTTTTATGCAAGAATTCAATGCCCTGTGATACCTGGAGAGCGACGTGAAGTCGGTCAGTCAAATATCTGTATTTAGGCAGGGCGCTTTTAAGGTTGTAACTCATTTTTGGTGTCAGTAACAATAACTCGTTATTGTATATTATTGTTGCCAGCAGAGGTAGCATACGTTCATGTTCATGTACAAGTCTGTAATAAAAAATATAAACATTATGTATATATTACGGAGTAGTATTACTCAACTTATTTTATTAATAAGAATATCGGGTCACCTTGTGTAATGTACTTCCATTGGGTCATTACTTCCAACTTCATATTTGACAACCCTCACAGCACACGGTAAAGCTTCTCGTCCCATTTCACCACAGTCGTACACGACACTCCGACTGCCTGTTCCAATCACTTCACCACGTTCAGGAATACCAAACTCTCTTCTGTCAAGTATCGAGTAAATCCTCAGTTCCAGTGATGCCACATCAGGTGCAAACGTTCTGATATTCTTTGCATCCATCTCTGTGATCATCGTATCTGAATTTATCAGGCTTTCTATTTGATTTATAGCTTTTTGGAACTGCGTTTTGCTACTACGAAGATGACATTTGGCTTCACTAATTGCGTCTTTTGATACGGCCTTCGTGTCGATTTTACTGAAGGTCTCTAAAGCCCTATCCTCTTTCCAATTATTATCGATAATGACAGTATCATCTTTATGGGGTTGAACTGCAGTAGTCATATTTTCTAACCATGTTTTTAATCGGGTAAGTATTGAATCTCTACGAAGTGGTGTTGCCATGACTGTACGGTACGAGCTCATTGTGCATTGTTTCATAATGGAGGCTACTTCAGAAAGTTCGCTGTGGTCCACTAACTCTGCAACTGAATTATATAAATCAATTAAAATGTCATCCTCTTTTTTGAAGCTGTCTGCCACTGCTTCATTCACAGCTGTGCTAATTATATTAATTACTAACTTCTGTATCGTTTTATTGCAGGTTTCTACTTCTGCCACGTCGGTAATCTGATATTCTCGAGCGGACGACACGATATTTTCTCTTTCTTTGTCAATGACGTTTCTAAGGTCACGCTGTAGAATCACAGATGTATGATCCAGTTTTGAAATGGCTTTCTTGAATACATCGTTCACAATTTCCCTGCATGCTTTCAACTCTTTCTCTTTATACTCTGGAGTTTTCGTCTCCGTGGTTTTCATAATGAAGTAGTCGAGACACCGTGTATGAGAAGCAAGAAGGATGCGGCTGGACTCAAGTATCAAGTTATTGAGAGACTGTGCAATAAAATCACAGATACATTTTTGTAATCTAAAGAAGTCGGCCACGAACGGATCTGGGTTATTCTTATTTTTTCTCCGGTACGATTTCAATCGCCAATTCGAAATTCCGTGAAAATTGCTGCAATTCTCCATTGGACAATCGGGTAGAAACCCCTCATCAACCAGACGGTCGTAGACGCGACCCTTTTTCGTCTGCGCAGCACTCATATCATCTCCGCTGTTTGTGTTGTGCTCGTCGAGTTTAGTAACTACAAAAAATACATTCCGCTTATTACCATCGCACAATTTCTTGATATCAGTCAAATCCTGTGAAAGACAAACAGTATACTCTACTGAATACACAGGAACTTTGCATGGATTCACACCTAATTTACGGTAATATTGCTTGTAAAATTTTAGCGAATATGACGTAATAATGCTGGAACTTTTAAAAGTTTGAAACAAGGTAGTATTAGTATGTCAACTGGCAAAATCTTGAAATATCAAGTAATGTTTACATGATAATAGACAACGCACAAATACAAATTTTGCGAATACACTTTAATTATTCTAATGGAATAAACTCAAATTGAGGGGAGATTCATGATCATCACATTAAATTACCAATTCTGTTCAACGACCCTTCTCCGTGCTTGAAAAGACACATATTGACTTTTTCATGTACTGATTGTAATTTCAAATCTTCAAAAGTCCGTTTATATAAAGGTATAATTATACAGTTTATCGTACCTGACTGTTCAATTGATTTCTACCATCTACCACATATATAATGATCTTCAAATCGTCATCAACCGCTCCCAGTACAAGTTTATTCAGGCGCTCGTTTTCTTGTAAACCCGGAGAGTCAATTATTTCAATGCCACTTTTCAGGAAGTCGTTGTTAAGTTCGGCGACAACATAACTACCGATCATTTCGTCGTCTTCTCGCTCTTTGTCTGCGAGTGCCACTATTGCTTTTGGTATTGCTTTACTTGTTTCCTTCATGTCTATCGTTTGTATGACGTTGCGGGTTTTGGAAATTACCCGTACTCTCTGGGTTTCTCCATACTTCATTTTGACTAGACGAGCTGTACATGGCACCTCGCTTGCAGTCACCACTGTGCCACCAAGTAACTCGTTGATGAACGAACTCTTCCCAGAATTAGTCTGGCCAACGACAATGATGCAAGGTTTGACACGAACCTTCTCAATTAGTTGCTGGTCTTCTTCATCGAGTAGTGTAATTCCATTTCTCTCGAATTTAGTCTGTGCCTCTTCTGACAGGGTACGTCGTATTTTGTCGTACACCTCTATTGTTTTCTCTAGTGCGTCCTGTATTTCATTAGAATCACGCTGATACAACGAAAATGATTCTTTCAATGAGGTAATGTGCGTAGAAACGTTTTTTGCTGCAACTGTTGCCATTTTTAATCGTTAGATTTGTACAGGATGTTGCTCACTGTATTCACTGTATACTGTATAACTCCCGTTTCATGTTGAACGACGACTTTAAAATGTTGGTTCAGGTAAAAATTAACTAGGCCACTCGAGAAAAAAATATGTGTCCATTGATTGTGGGCGTTTAAAAAATCATATCACAATGAAGCGGGAGGGTCGTTACCTGCGCACGCGCTGGAATTGAGTCCCAGGCGACGATAACAACACACGCTAAACACGCAAAGGCTCATGGGTAGACGCTTGTTTGTAAAAACAATGACACGCTATGGCCATCTGACGCAGGCACAGGTGACGACTCCCCCGCTTTAATAGTTGCAATCAGCATAGTAACTGCAATCATTAACGTCAAAATGTTTGTATTCACATTCGTCCGTATAGTTGTTATGTTTTTTTTCCTACCAACAATAAAACAATGGGAAACAAATAGTCGTAAGGTAAGTATGATACACACTGTATACTGTGGCGTTTCAGCTATGATCGCCTTGCTGTTCTATAAATAAACCAAATATATCACACAGAGTGCAACGTCATATGTACCACAAGTGAGACAGTCAACATGCTGAAGGACCACATAGCATATGGCATAACAAAAGGGGGCTACCACCAGCACCTCTAAACTCCTACCCTTTCCCGACAGCCAGAATGCAAAAAAAGTACCAATTTTCTAAAAATGGAATTTTTACATGATTAATGTATAACTGGATCCATTGTATAGTTTAAGCAAAGCTTGTGGGTGATTTTTGTGATTCATGATTATAATTTCGGTGATAAATGCTGAAATTCCTCCTGAAAACAATTTGGCCCAGAAAGATAACCTATTTCAAGCACTTTGGCTGAAAAGGGGTTGGCATATTCGATTGCAGCTTTCTAATTGAAACACCCCCACCATTCACACCCCACACCATATCCACCTCTTCAGCAATGGCAAATTGCCAACTGCATTCCTTCACCATTCAGGAGTTTGGGCTGAAAACAGCATGACCGTCTAGACAGTGTGACCTTTCCGCTGGCGTTATCGCTCTGCTAAAACTGAACAATTGAGCACACAGTGATTGAGTGTTGGGCTATTGTACCAATTTCAACATGTACGCGGAGGGCATGGCAATTCACCGCGTTTGTAATACATTGTACACAACCCTGGATTACAGGTCACGTGACAATAATGTCTAAATTTTGTATTCATGTTTGTCGTTTGGCGTGTCGACTGACGCACGAGATCAATTTGATTTATGTTATTGCTTCAAAATAAAATACTTTGGACTGTTATTTCATTATTGTAAATAATTATTATAATGCAATATTGTAAGAAAAGTGCCAAGGTGTGAGTAGTCATGACCAGTTGCATAATAATCTTCGCCAAAGTACCGCAAAGTACAAAATAGTGTAGTAGAGGCATAATAGACCCAATAATTACCTATGGAGTAGAAACTCTGTCTGAAAAATATAAATCTATACCAATTCGGTGGAAATGTTTTTAAAAATTATAATTTATTATATATGATATTACAGATATGCTGATCATACATTAAAATGGAACTGACATTCCGACCAAACAGCGCCCGGACTAATTTTGTAAAACCCCTTGATGTCTGAAAACATGTCATTTTGTTATGTTAGTGTGCAAGTTTTCACAAATCAAATACTATAATATTTTGCTACTAAAATGGATGTGTGTGATCAGAATATTCACGGTTGAAGGGCGGTAGTCGTCGCGCTACGCATGTGCAACATTTGTGTTGATAAACATTTTCCCATAATCCAATTTTCTCATGATATCACGAGTGCGAGTTTTGTGCTGGGCGGCACTTGCACTAATTACCGCCGACGACTCCTTCAAACATTCAAAACACCGACAAAATATGCGTAATTGAATCTTGGTAACCTCTTAGATTGTTCCCGCCATCATTGTTTATCTGAGACCCATATATCGCGCATGCGCGTCGTGGCGACTACCACCCTTTATTATATCAAACATGACATCTCACGAGAATCTGACGCGAAAAAACAGATAATATATATGATGACATAGTGATTACTATGATACCGATACTCTAGTAGTTTTAAAATAAATGTACAAGCTCACAAACACAAAAAACAACAAACACATTTTTGCACAGATGTTAGTGAATACGTCGTTGAAAGAAATATCTGTGGAAGTCAAATAGAACCGTCCATTTGACATAGTTTTAATTACATCACATGACTCAAATTATTTTCTCGTAACCAATCGCAGTGTTTATTGCTCTCAGCTGTTTTAGTGGATGGCGTGGAGCTTTGTTTTTAAAACGAGATGATGAAAACATGATTATTGAAAATATATTAAAAAGATATATAATACTTAGTAGTGTATTAGTATTTAGTATAGATATTTTTCGGATTTAATCATAATGTTGCAACTGTCGATAATAACTCGCAATATTGCATTCCTTTGTACTAAAACTAGCAAAAACTATACACTATTACTACGAATTAAGAAAATACCCTGCACAATGCAATAGCGATCTATTTTTTGAAGAGACAACTTCCATCCATTGTTCTTATCAAGGTGCATTATCATCAGGAACAGTGGAATAAATATAATATTCAACTTGAGATATACTGTGGTTTTATAAAAATATTATTAACGATAAAGAGCTTTTCCGATAAAATCATTATGCAAGAAAGGACACTATTTTACTCCAAGATGGCCTTTGTAATGGATCAGTGGAAAAACATCTCTTCAGAACATTGTGAATTTTTTTATCCTTGTGGTCAATTAGACAGATACTTTCGACCATGTTATTCTCCGGTATCTCAATTTTCTGTGCGTCATCTACATCTGCGTAAGTAGGTCGCCGAAACCTGCCGAGAAGCAATAGCCAAAGTAGAACTCCAAAGGAATAGACAGCGCTAGCATTCGTTGTGATGAATGGGGAAATATCGGACGAAGGTGGGTTTGTATATTCTTCAGGTGGGATATGGAACGGAATTTTCCCATCAGGATAGGGAATGCTGTCATCACGTGATTTGAGCATGTTGATCGTGGGAGTCCAATCTGCTTTTAACTGAAAGAAACGAAATACCATCTTGTTAGAACAAAAAAGAACACTATGTTTTGTAATTTTGTTTATTTGTATTTGGTCTGCATGTATATTCGCATAATTAGCATGTCGTATGTATGTATGTATATAATTATATACCATTATATTTGTTGGACGCAAATCAACCACTGGAAATCCTTGATCAGAGAGATATTCACAGCCAAAGGACAGAAGTCGAGCAATCCGAAGCCTGCTTTTAACTTTCTCTTTCTGTAGACTTCCATCGGATAATGTGGTCCATAAATTACGATCTATATATGGTACTATAGTAGCAATACGTGTTTCACCATAGATAACACAGTCAACACTACCCAGGACAGGAACAATGATGTTATCCAAATTGAATACGTGCCTGTACAGAAAATTGTGTAATTATATTTACCTGTAATGTTGTAGTATAGAAATCATGACACATAATAAGCAAAGTATCCGTGAAACAATTCAACATACCTTGCGATGCTCACGAGAACAGCTTCCCTCTTATGATATTTATTATCTTTCGCAATTCTCACCACAACGTCACCGAACTTTCCCCACGCTTCCAACCTCTTTATAGCGTGCCTTTTACCACTGAATTCTTGTTTTGCTTCTGATGCATCATCACTTATCACTAGTAATCCATAGTTCAAACTAGCAAACGTGGCCTCGCTGCTCTGCAGAGTATAGCAAATATTTGTTACCACATCCGGGGTATCTTTAACATCACTTGACAGGGACATGACTTCACTCATAGTATCCAGACATCCGATCAAAGTTAACATTTTCTTCTCGTATGAATTTATCCCCCTATGTATATCCTTACTAATAATTTCTATTATATCATTAACAGATATATAATTCAAAATCTCCATAGCAACAGTCTCCCTCCATTTATCATTTACCGTCAGCCCCATTAACATGTACGATAATTTCTGTCGTAAGCCCTGCTTTTTATGCGTGCCTATCAGGTGAGATCTTACATGGAATTGCAGTTTCTCCTGCATGTTGCTGACCTTTGGTACCGGGATAATGGAACAAGTGTAATTTGCAAGGAGTTTACCGAGGCTCTTTGTCCCTTGTTCAAGTAATCCGGTAACATTTTTCACAAGATTCTCAATTTCATATCCTAATTTCATCTGCATTATCTGTGAAAATTTCATGATTACAAGTTGTTGAACTTGATTTCGCAATTGGATGAGCATTTCATCTTTGTGGACAGAATGTTCGATCTTTATTGGGTCGTATTTCATATTAGCAGCCAGGGTAGTAATCACTGACTTACTCCCCGTAAGTGCATCGTCTATAATTTCTGTCATACTTTCAGTTGTATGCTCCACCCTTTCATGAGCTGCTATAATACCACGAACAAACAGTTCCTTATTTGCCGCTGTATGTTTGGAGTTGATATCAGATTTTCTCAAGGCTGGGACACCAATGGAAAGAAACAATCCAACCAGTGTAGAATGAAGCGTTATTGAGGCTTGGACTGTGTACTCATTGAGTATGTTTTGTGTTAGTGAAGCAATGGTTGCCTTCAACCTCTGAAACTCATTATCAAATCCAGTGACTGTCTTGCTAGAAACACCATAAAAATCACGGCATGATTCAACACTGTCTGCATCGCCACTTATAAAACCATGATCAAGGAGCGTTTTAAACGTTATTCTTTTTTTATCGACTGATAACTCCTCGCCACTTTCTTCGTCACTGTCGTCTGATGGCATATCCATAGCTTCGGCAACTCTGTCAACATCTACTTTATTGCCGACGTAAATTATTGACAAGTCAGCTGATAAGTTGTTTATTGTACATAGCATCTGTTGATCCTATCAATGGATTGAAAACGAAAAGTTGCAGTTAGTGTGAAATTATTGTATGTCATATACTTAGCAATGTACATGCGATCAGACGACACTTATGTGAGTATTTCAATACAGGGTCTCAAAACAATTCACATATAATACACATTCTATAACAAGTAATCAGTAATCTCTAATTAAGTTTCCTTTTCTTAATAATTCAAGCATTGTTTACTTACTCTGCGACGAATTCCATAATTGCTATCAACAAGATAAATGATTGGTAGCAGTATACTTTCTTTGCACTCCTTTCTGATTATATCTGCAGCACAATCCAGGTCCGATGTGGAAAGATAACATATAGTGACGCCATTTTCTAGAAGCGGGTGGTTAATTCCTATCTCTATCATCTCAATTTCATTGGCTGTTGTAAATACGGGGCTTGAGTTAGTGTAGCCATCGGGAATACTCTCCTCTCCCACTGTATCCCGTTTCACAACTGTACCCTTTGTATCAAGCATTTGAATGTAGCCTGACTCACAGTAGGATATTTTGATGAATGTAGTAGTGCATGGTAAATCAGATGGTGGTAACAATTTCCTACCCAATAGTTTGTTAATAAATGACTTCTTTCCGCATCTCGTGTGGCCAAGTACATATAGTTTAGGGCTACATTCCACTACACGCTTCACATTCAAATCATCTTGTTCAGACAGTAGAATTGGCTGTAGCTTCTTTCGGAGGGGACGGCGAATTACACTCTGAACCCGTTGAACGTATCCATTGGTATCTTGGTATAATTGACCCAATTTCTTCTGTTTCAATTTGAACTCGCTGTACACTTGTTCTAAGCTGAGAGACATAATTGCTAGTGATGGTTTTGCTGCATATATAGCTAAGCTATGAATTTAAATACTCACATAAGTCGACCGTTTTGACGGAGACCAGTTATTGGTAAAGAAAGATATTATAGCTTCATGTGTGACACGGCACGTCATCCAACTTATGCAAATAGTACTGGCTGCCCAGGTAAACTTAAGTGCTTAAGTCTCATTCCCAGGGACCATATTATGTAGCACCGACTAGAAGGCAATTATAGTGTTACAACAACCTAAAAAAAATGGCGGCATCGAAAGAAGCAAGTATTTCGAACACCACTACAAAGCTTAACCCACAGGAAACACAAACACGCATTGTGTCACTGAAGAATGCATTTACCGCATATTCACAAGATTCACGAAGGCTCTTAGATTTAAAGGCGTCCACCGTAGAAGAGTACGAATGCATTAAAACGGTTCTTTCAAAGACAACACAGACCGAGATGGACGCTGGTGCTATCACATTGCTTGATGCTGAGGACCAGCTGGATATTGATAAAGTGAAACAAAATCCTAGTCTCATTGTTATCGGACAGACTAATTCAGGGAAAAGTTCCCTCATCAACGAGTTACTGGGTGGAACCGTTGTTGCAATGAGACAAATACCATGTACAGCACGACTGGTAAAACTGAAATATGGAAAGAAACAACTAGTCCGAGTGGTTTCCAAAAGTGGGGAAGTTCTAGAAGAGCGAGCCATAAAGAAGAAGACAATACCAAGAGATCTTGTTGACTTAACAGAAGAACAACGACATGATCCGATATATATTGGAAGCCATGTGGAAGCAGAAATAGATAATGATTTCCTGAAATCTGGCATTAAACTAATTGATTCGCCTGGATTACAAGAAGATGAAAATCTAGATAATATAGTACTGGGTGAACTGAAAAATACAGTTCCATTTGTAGTATATGTATTAGATGGAAACAACCAGTTGACTGAGCAGGTACGTATATATTTTATACGTTTACTAATTATCCAGGTGTTGTCGGTCGGTCTCTTAAATGAATTGTACAACTAAAGTCATGCATGACTGACCGACTGATCTAAATACACATTTAGGTTTTCAGCTTACATCAAATTGCATGAGCAGTTCTAAATATAGTGTCCGTTTAATAACCATAGTGTTTGAATATTATTGTCTTTAAGGCAGTTTACTTACTTACTCACTCGTTCACCCAACATGTCCCTCTTTGCTAGTTGAGCAATGCATTAGTAAAAATGTACCCTTTCACCTTTCCTTTTTTTTCTTGAATGACCTTCACGAGGAACTTCTAAAAGATGAATGGGTTAGCGGTTGTTCTGTTGGGCAATTAGAAATACTCTACCTTTTTTTTGCAGACGATTTAGTTCTGACAGCAGAGACTACAATGAGTATTAAATCAATTAGAAACTTACTGTGCAAAGTACAAACTCAAAGTTAATTTGGAAAAGACAAATTTAATGGTGTTTAGAAAGGGGAGAACACTGCGCGGCTACGAAAAATGGCACTATAAAGGCAATCCCGTTAAAGTAGTTTCATATTTCAAATACCTGGGTGTGGTATTATCCTGCAGCGAACCATGGACAAAAGCCCAGTCGGTTCTTGCCGAACAAGCCAAAAAAGCAATGTTCACAGTTATTGCCCCACTAAAAGCCCACGAAGACGTCCCTGTTCAAACCTGTTTCAAAATTTATGACTCCAAAATATTTCCCATTCTTAGCTATGGTGGTGAAATATGGGGCTACCACCCAGCCCCGAACATAGAACGCGTACATACCAAATTCTGTAAATATATCCTGAAACATAATATATCAGCAACTAATGCTGCAGTACGGGGGGGCCTTGGAATATTTAGTTTACGTGCATTAAGGCTACCCGGAATGGTAAAATATTGGATAAAAATGTTAAAAATGGATACAAACAGAATTGTACATTAATGTTATCTAGAGCAATGAACTAAAAAATATTCTATTGAATAACGGTTTTGTTGAGGCTTGGTATAACCACTGAGTTGGAAATGAACCCGTTTAGAAAACGATGTAAAGACTTATGTAAAGACATAAACAGCTTTAGTAGACTTGATACTTATAAATTGTTTAACTTCTTTTCGTGTGTCCAGCCACACTCTAAATATTGAACAGGGAAGACGTGTAAATCTTCCACGGGAAAATAGGTCATGTCACAGTTGTCATGATGGCAACATAGACAACGAGTACCATTTTCTTTTGATATGTACTTCCTACCAGTCTTTGAGAGCAAAGTATATTCCTAGACAATATTTTATTAACCCTGATATAGAGAAGTTTGTTCAGCTTATGTCCTCATCCAATGTGGACACTGTGAGAAATTTAGCCACATTTTTATTTTTTGCTTTCAAACAGAGAGAACAATACTTTTTATACGCATGCATTTATGTATTTCTAATTAAGGTCACTAAATTGTTGTTTCAATTCCCTTTAGCACAAAGGGCCGGAGGCCTAGGGTGCATACTGAATAAATTATTATTATAAAAAAGAAATTCCCATTGTATAACTATTATCACAATGAAAAACTCTCTAAATTAAATGGTTTTAAATCTAACAACAACAAGAATTCAGTTCATTTTCGGTAATGGTAATAAAGCCTAATAATGAAATCATGTGTAGATTAGATATAATCTTCAGTTCGATCAGAACTTCCTAAGATAATTTCATTTTAAAATTGTATGGTATGTTGAAAATATATGCTTCAAATATAGGTATATCTTCAAATATATATATCTTCAAATATATCTTCAAATTCAAATTATATTTTTATAAATATAGGTATATCTTCAAATTCAAATTATATTTTCATAAATATAATGCGATAACACATTTTTAATTACTTTTATTTTTCAGGACAGAAAAGACATAAAGAAAATTAAAGACCAAACAGATACTATATTCTTTGTTGTAACCAAAGTGGATAGTGATGCAGATAATGATGAGGTGGAAATCTCTGCTGAAGAAAAGAAACGTCGGGCTTACGACAGTTTGGTTAAAGATGGCCTTCTACCGCATGGAGTGAGAATGGAAGAGTGTGTTCGATTCCATGGTATTTCTAATTGGAAAGTTAAAGAATACCGACGAGCCAAGAAATGTGGTCATGATCCATTCGTAGCTGATTTTCAAAGATTACAGCGAAGCATCTGCACCTTCGTAGAGTCATCACTGGATGGTATAATCATAAAGGCCGCTAGAATTCTCTTAGCTTCTCACACACACTGCATTGATTTCTTTATAACACATGCAACCGGCGCAAAAGAAAAGATGACATTGAGTGAAGATACGTTCAGAAGCTGCAAAGAATCAGAGAAAAAGGTTTTTACTGACGCCATAGAAAAACTCGAAGAAAGAAAAAATTACATTCACCGTAAAATATCATCCACAATAGAAAGAGATACCCCTGATATAATTGAAAGTGCCAGAGAGTTTAGTCTACCAGAAATTCCAGTTGACGATTATATTAAACGAAACCAAGCCATAGACAAATGTAGCGAAAGCATTCAGCAACTCGTTCTAGACAAAATCAGCGCTGGGGTCGAACAAACACTTGCAGACATTTTCACAGACGAAGATAGTATTTTGACAGATTTGGCCGAAGTTGTCAAAAGATTGGAAGAAACGGGGACTGGCTCTGACGTATCAGATATAATTAGACAGTGCACCATGAGTTCATATCGAGCTGAAAGTGTTGTTTCATTTCGAAAAGATTCTGTTTTGTCACGATTACTCGAATGGTTCAGAAAGAGTTTTACCTCAGAGACAAAACGGTACGAGGCTGTAGTCACGATTGACAAGAGTTGGAAAGAAGCCGAAGCATTGAAGGCACTCAAGAGAGTGGACGCAAAGATCATTTCAAATGAAATCATACGTCAAGCTAAGAAACACCTTGAAACATGTCGTCGCAAGTTCGCGAAAGCCATGGATAAGTTGAAGACGTTGCTCACTTCGGACATTGAACTAAGTGAGAAAGAAAGGCTGAAAATACGCGATAGAACGCCTGCAATTGCAGAATTAGAACTACGAACTTACTCGGTCATCGACAAACGAGAATTTGGATTTCCTGTTAAGGGAGAAGAGATTGGCAAAGGTGGTCAGGGCAGTGTGTACGACTGTGGTAAAATGGGTCCTGGTAAAACTCCATGTGTTTTCAAAGAATTGGAATTGAATAAACAAACTGCAATGGAAGTCCACTATACAAGGTAACTCATCTATTCATCTTACCCAGGTCTAAATCATAGTGAATTACATTTTAACTGTGTGCCTCCCTTATAATTTTCAACTCGTTTTTATAGGGCGCTCCATAACCACGAAAGAATCGTGAAGTTATTTGCAAGTATTGTACACAATGATCAGGTCTATTTAGTAATGCCACGGATGAGATGTGACCTGTCTACGGGTCTGGCGGATATTTCGTATTTGAAAGATAGGCTGAATATTGCTCTGCAGATAGCAGAAGGCATGGAGTTTCTGCATGGAAAGGGGATTGTACATAGAGATATAAAAACTCACAACATATTGGTAAGATCGAAATTTTTAATAGATCATTCAAAGCAACATATACAACTAAGATACAACATTGCTGTACTATCAACATTTTTATTTTTTTTATTTGTTATTGTATTTTCAGTTGGATGAGCAGGGACAGGTAAAAATAGCAGACATGGGTTTATGTAAAGCAGAAGGATTCGTAGGTGATACTGTATGTGGTACCCCATTATATATGCCTCCTGAAATCACGCTAGGATTTGATTACGACAAGGCAGTGGATGTGTATGCATTTGGTGTTCTATTGTGGTTTATATGTGACGGGACAGGCGAATTACCAACACAGCTCGTCCTCGGGATGATTGCTGTGCCGGTTATAGTACGTGTACTTGTCGTGCGACCCGAGAGACTGCAGAAGTTTGACGATGACTGCTGGAAACTGATGAATAAATGCTGGAAAACCGATCCCCGTCAAAGGCCAAGCTTCAGTGAAATTAAAACGCAATTACAGGACATCGTCAGGCGTATTGACCCTCAGAAGAAATAATTTATTTTTAGTCTTTCAAATTATTAAATGCTTACATAATATTTGCAGTAAAAAAGTGTTAATTATACATTTGTGCATGTTATATTCGTATAATATCTAATAACTTAGTTGAGTGGTATCACTATTTACCAAACTAAGCAAAAACAAACAAGAATTTGTTCTCTTTCATTTTACTGTCACAATGTTTGAACTAACTTCGATTTATGGTCTGATAAAATGTGTATTTTGGACGGACGGGACAATGGTGTGTGCATGGTAAGCTGTGTTGGAGATTAATTTGTGTTGAAAAATAACTAATTATGAGTTCAATGTTAAATGATGAATGTGGGTTTTAAAGTAATGACGTGATATGTACTGAAATTGAAATTTTTATTATTGAAATAGGTAACATTGCCCTTTGCCTTACCACCTTTTCCACGACCAGACATGATTGTATGTTAACTATTCGGCTCGAACTAGGACGAGAATGATACTGCGGGTATCTCACTGGCTGTTTTTATACACCCGACCCGGATTCCGATTGCAAATATATACTTCCAATCAGAATTGAGGATCGAGATGAATAGCATTCAGTCAGCGCCTCAACAATGGCAATGAACACTTTGAATGAAAAAAAACCTAAACAACTGTGTTTTCTCTTGTGTTGTTTTCACTATTTTCGCTGATAAATATAATCCGTTAATTTGTTTACAGTGCACGCAATAAGATGCTTGACTCATGTTACATAAATAAATATATATGCTCTGGCTCTATATTTATTTTTTTGCCGTACTCATATCCAAAATTGTACATCACTGCACGCTCGACAAGAAATAATACTTTCCAATGTTGACCACAGTATCAAATCAAAGCACAAGTTCGCTGGTAATAACGTGTGCAGATATTACAAATCAAAGTGTACAAAGTACTGCTCGAAGAGTTGACTTTAGTTCTGCGTTCGACAGATCCGATACGATTGTTCTTGTTCTCATTTTGTTGATATCAGCCTTCAACCAAGTTTCAAGAGAGTGGATGCAAAAATCATTTTCATATGAAATCATACGTGAAGCTAGGAAATATGTATTCGTAGAATTACAATCACAGGACAGTCATGCAGAAATATGTATTAACAGCCAAAATAAATCAACATGATTTTCCACAAACTACTTCGAGCAGTATTTCGCCACAGGCCGCGACTGAGCACTGTCGTTTGAGCACGCATAATAAAAAATACTATTGGGGTCCGCTGACGACAGTTTTATTCTCCATAATTGGAGAAGAGTATCTAAGAGGATACGACTTCTGAGCATCAGACATGTGTTACCATAACGATATATGTACGCACACTGTGTTTACACGCCGTTGCAGTATTGTTTAGAATCAACTACTTGCATGTTTAGGATAGACATAATAACATATATTACGGAAATTTAATAAATAGATTGTTTACTAATTGTATTTAATAGTGGTAACTATACATGCTTTAAGTGTGAGACACACCCCTGGTAATCACGTGATAGTGTCAACGACTGCAGCGATTGTCTGGTCGCATATTTACTCTGCCACGCCTAAGAGATTTAGAATAGATTTTTTTTAGATTTTGTAAGGGAGGTGGGAAAGAAATGAACAGCGAGGCGTTACCTCAGCTGACTGTCTGAATGAATAAAGCTGGACTATCTGTAATGAACTTATATGTATTCCTTAGGGTCGAATCTGGTGTTTCTACGTGTAAGTGTTATCAGCTTAGCGAGCACAGTTCCCCCCGAACACAACGCTAGTGTTCACAACACTTGAAACACATGACTCATAAGTAAGTCACGTCGATCCATCTATTCAGTGTTGGCACAGTAGTATATTACGATATTCGCCCGTCACTTAGCTCCCATCCATATCTTTAGTCATATTGAATAAGCTATAAACTGCAAGCTATAGTTATAAACTTCAAATCTAAATCGTTCAAATCGAAATGAAATTACAGAAAGAAAAAAATCAGCTTCAATCTCCTGATTGTTTGATCACTCAAGCTCTAGAGACAATATGGACTCCTTTTCAGACAGAAATAATGAAAAAAGGGAACCTCTTTTCAAAAAGACAGGGTAAAATAACATACATCTTTTCAGGCAGAAGTGGTGAATTTGGAACCCCTTTTGGCGACACATATACAAATAGCACTTCAATGTGAGAACCCCCGGTACCAATGATATTGGCATATGTTGCATATGCACAACCAGGGCATTTCATTTACACAGTAAATTG